ACCACCACCACCACCACCACCACCACCACCACCGGTTCCATCTTGCAAGGAACCAAAGCCTGTGATCTTTAGTTCAAAGTTTGAATTCGACAAGACCACTTCATGGGCAATTGGGTTCAAGAGTTCTGAACTTCCAATGGATCTAGGACTGGCATTTGTTGTTGTTGTTGTTGTACCCATTGTTGATGGTCTTTCCTCCATGTGCCTCTTACTTCCATGGATGACATCCTTAAGGTTTGCTAAAGATCTTGAACATCCCGATTTCCCTCCTGTTGACGGTGACGATTTCTTTGTTTTCGTTACTATTTTGCTCAGATTCTTCTTTTGAAAATTTGGATCATGAACATCTGCTGGTCCTGACTGGCAGTGCATTGACCTCCTTAAAGAAAACCAAACTGCCGGCATCTCTATGTCTGTGCTTAGACTGTGTGTACTCTTCAAGAGTCATAAACTTTCAAAGTTGATTTGAATACAATCAAAACCAAATGAAACCCATCCGGATTGAAGTTTTGGTATGATCTTTTCACGTCTTTTCGAGATTGCTAAAAATAAAGTCAACTATTTGACAAATGACATAGATATGTTGAAGCATTCAATAGTTATGAAGAAGTATTGAAAATGGTTTAAAAAATGTTCCCTAAATCAATTTGAAAAGCATATGAATTGGCTAATTGTAGCAGAGGAACTGAAGATAAGTTAATTGGATATGAATACAACGTGAAATAACGCATTGACATCTCGATCGGTGGTCTTCGGTATCAGTTTTAGGAGTTAGTAAATGTGAATAGATTTTATATAGGAATTCAACCCTATGAGATTAGATTGCATTAATTTCTAGTAATTATTTTTATTTTAAAAATAAATATTTTCTTATATTTTATTTTCAAAGATATAAATTTTTTTATCAAGATTGATATTTTAGATTTTTTACACCAGTAACTATATTAAAACATACCATATGCGTGCAAAAGATAGTACAAAATATTTCGGGTCTTGTTTGTTTTTGTATTTTTAGTTTTTAATTACCACTTATATCTGATTCATTTAGATTGTTTGTTTTTTATTTCCTTAGACTCTTATCATTTCGACATGTTATTAACATTAAAATGTTCCCATGTTAGTTTGGTTTGAAGTTGATTATATTTTAATCAAATGAAATATATATATATATATATATATATAAAGACCAAAAAAATTAATAAAAAAAAAAAGTTGATGTAAAATTAAAAATACTTTGGCAAAAAATCTTAATTTTACATCTAGTATAATTATGGTTTTTAAATGAGTTTCTTAAAATTGATTCAAACTAATCGATTATAAACATCAAGTGATTCAACCGATCATCGATCAAATTAAGTAATCGGATATTAATTGATACTTTAACATATAATTCAACAATTTATATAAAAAAAGCATGAAGAACTTCTTGTGTTGATCTCTAGGATTTTTTAATATTAATTGAGTGACATTTTGGACCAAGATTTGTGCATTTATGACAGAAGATGCCAGCAAATGAAGCCATGATTTTTGGTAAACAAGGGCCACAATAATGACATGCCCATGTTAATATTATGCTATGATAGCTTAATTTTATGTCAAGCCTTTATTTATTGCGACCAATATGTTTTCACTAATTATTTTATTTATTTTGAAGCATGTGTTATAGTCAAAAAATTATTAAAATAACTTTTTCTCCTTCGATTCCTCTAAGCTGTTATAAGAATTAAGCATGAATATGACAAGATGTGATTCATGTAATTAGTATACTCATGTTGTAGATGTAGTATAAAATGAAAGAAGCTGCCTCTTGGTTTTCAAGGGTTTATGAATTTACGTCAAAATTACAACCGCTGACTTTCTTACCATATACTAACGGATCTGTTACAGATATATCTATGTTGAAAGTCGTATTTTTTAGTATGTATTTTAGAGATCAGGAAAAAAAATCGATAATTCTTTTGATTCGATGTAAATTTGTTGAACACCAAAATCTATATATGTGAAATTACATGTTGGTATAGGAAATTAGGCCAAGTACCAAATGAAAGTCCTCTACATATGTTTGTTTGTATTTATGATATCAAGGTACACGTTTAGTAATATATTTTGTTATTTGTTTTAATATTTATATTTTATAAAGTCAAATTTTGGACAAGAAACTAGTTATATAATTTATGAGTTTATGGAAAACATGTACTTGACAATTTGATTTAAAAAACTCAACTTGTAACACTATTAAAAGACAATTTTTGTGTTTTCTTGTAAACTCTCGACTTATTTAAAAAATAAAAGACAAGTTATATCATAATTAATCAAATTCGCTTTGTTATTATTTTTATTTTAGATAAGAAACTATGTTTGGCATCAATTATCTATAAAAGAGGGATGAAGTTTCTCCAACAAGATACCGGGTTTAAATTCAAACACGTCCACCTTATCCTCGACTCTTATTTGGTGTCTAAGACATAGTATTTAAACCAGAAAATTCAAAATAGATCCAAAAAAAAGTTTTTTTTTTTGTTACAAAGTAATACATTCACCTTATTTGTTCACAAAGTCATAGTATTTCTTCTGTATTGTATCAAAAACATGCAAAACATGTTTATTTAAGGGCCGTTTACCAAACGCTTACTCGGTAGGTGAACACCAAGTCATTTTCTTTTACCGGATGAATATCGTAAGGATAAAAAATATTACCCTGTAAGAGCGAGACAATGACCAAGAGTCTTACTCAGTAAGTGAGGGCGACGACTCTTATCATGGTAAGCACTTACCGGGTAAATTGTTGCATACGATACCGTTTTGGTGGACTAAAATCTTATCCGCTAAGTAAATGATAGTGTTAAATTTATTGGTAAATGCATACCGGATAAGTGTTTGGTAAACGGCCCCTTAATTACAATTAAAAAAAAACATAATGCATGCAATCTATTATTTTCTTTTTCTTTCATAGCCTACTAAAAAACTATTAAAAAATAGTTCACTTTGTGCTCATCACATAGTTACGTGTATATCCAGATTCAAATACAATGACTTTGATTTATGCAAAGGAAGTGGTTGTCTTGAAGTTAATTGATTCGTATAACGAGTTGGATATTTAAGTTAATAAAATAAAATAAAAAACTATTAAAGAAGATCTAATTTTCCAAATTAAAGCTTTTGAAAACAAATTCCCAGAATAGGATACAATTCCATGCAGTTTAAAGAAACGTTATTATCAAAACCATAAATTAGAAAGAAGAAAAAAAACAGTATTATCAAAATCATAATCGCTTTTCATGTTTATCAGCCTATGCATATTAAAATAACTTCTACACATATCCCATACACATGAAACTACACAGAGTCTACTGCAACCATCTGAATCAGGATTAAATGAGACTCTCATTCAGTTCTTGTAAAAACCTCTGCAATCCCAATGATGACACATCTGAACTAGGGTTAACCACTGGTTCGTAGGGTTTAAGCATTAATTTGGGAAGAAGAAAAAAACCAAATTTTGTTTAACATAGTCTTAAAAAAAAATTCTTTTTCTTTTTGGTACCTCAAACGTGCATGATATCTCATACTCAGATATATATACCTAGGGGTATAAACACTACTAGAAAACTGGCTATTTCCGGCGTCATTTCCGACACTATTTCCGGCGCCATTTCTGGCGGACGGAATCCGCTGGTAATTTACCGGCGGATTTCCGGCGGACACCAAAAAAGTCAACATATCATTGACTCCCACCTATTTCCGGTGGACAATTAAATATTTTTAAAATTTTTTTTATCATTTCCGGCGGATAATTAAATATTTAAAAAAAAATTAACAATTTCTGGCGGATTTCCGACGGATAATTAAATATTTTCTTTAAGAAAAGAAAATAACAATTTCCGGCGGATTTCCGGCGAATAATTAAATATTTTTTAAAAACAAAATTAACTATTTCTGGCGGAATAATATTTTTCCTCATTTTTCAAACTTTTCTTTAAATAATGGATCGTATTGGACTTTAACGGTTTTATTAGGCTTTAATGGGTGTTAGTTGGGCTTTAATGGATCGTATTGTGTTTTAACGGTTATATTGGGCTTTAATGGATGTTAGTTGGGATTTGATGGATCGTATTGGGCTTTAACGGTTCTATTAGGCTTTAATGTATCGTATTGAACTTTCATGGATTGTATTTGGCTTTAATGGATCCTATTGGGCTTTAATTGATCGTATTGGTCTTGAATGAACCGTATCGGGCTTTCATGAACCGTATTGGGTTTTAATGTAACGTATTGGTCTTTAGTGGAACGTATTGAGCTTTAATGGATCGTATTGGGCATTAATGGATCCTATTGGGCTTTAATGAACCGTATTGGGCTTTAATGGAACGTATTGGGCATTAATGAATCGTATTGGGTCTTTAACGAACCGTATTGGGCTTTCATGAACCGTATTGGGCTTTAATGAACCGTATTGGGCTTTAATGAACCGTATTGGTCTTTAATTGAACGTATTGGGCTTTGATGGAACGATTGTGCTTTAATGGAAGTATTGGGCTTTAATGGAATGTATTGGGCTTTAATGGATCGTATCGAGCTTTCATGAACCGTATTGGGTTTTAATGTAACGTATTGGTCTTTAGTGGAACGTATTGGGCTTTAATGGAAGTATTGGGCTTTAATGAACCGTATTGGACTTTAATGAAACATATTGGGCATTAATGGATCGTATTGGGTCTTTAATGAACTGTATTGGGATTTCATGAACCGTATTGGGCTTTAATGAACCGTATTGGTCTTTAATTGAACGTATTGGGCTTTGATGGAACGATTGGGCTTTAATAGAAGTATTGGGCTTTAATGGAATGTATTGGGCTTTCATGAACCATATTGGGCTTTAATGAACTGTATTGGGCTTTAATGAACCGTATTGGGCTTTAATGAACCGTAAACGTCGAAGATGGTAGTTTTTATGGCTTCAAAAGTCATGATTGTCATGTGTTCATGCAAAGACTGCTACCTCTTTCTATAAAAGGGATGGTACCGACTCCAATATGGGATGCTATCACTGAGTTGTGCACATTCTTTCGTGCAATATTCTCAAAGGTGTTACACATTGATGACTTGCTTCAATTGTCGACAAGTATAGTGGAAACTATCTGCAAGTTGGAAAGAGTCTTCCCACCGGGATTCTTTGATTCCACGGAACACCTTGTGGTACATTTGGCACGTGAGGTAATAGTTGGAGGTCCAGTTCAATATCGATGGATGTATCTCTATGAGAGACGTCTAGAGTCGTTGAAAAGGACAGTGAGAAACAGATCAAGGGTAGAAGGGTCAATTATTGAAGCATATTTGGCTAATGAACTATCTACCTACTGCTCGTTGTATTTTGGGTATTTTAGAACAACGGTAGAGACACGTCT